TATTACTTAGTATCAAGTTAAGCCTTAAGCCACTACATTTTTAATTTCTTGGGTTTAGATAAGAAACTACAGAAATTACTAATTCAGTTTTGAGAATTAAAAGAAAACAGAACATATAAAAATGAAATCAAAGCAATTAAACCCAGAGTAACTCAAAGCTAAAGGAAGAACATGAGTAATATAATTGTTTTTAGTTTAAAATACCAATGTTTAGAGTGACACTTGCCTCTCCATCACATGCCCCAGAAAGGACAGTAGCCAGGCTCTTTGGATGCTTTGCCAAGCAATTGACTCCATCTCGGTGACCATCCAGAGAAGCAAGGAATGGCTTTGCAAATACCCGTTCCAGTTTGGTAGCATTTAAAGCTCTTACATATTCTCGTGGGACCTCAAAAGGATGTAAGGTAGGATCATAGTTTCTTGGAACTGAAATAAGAATGACTCCTCTTAATAAAACAATTCACATTTAATATTTCCTGTGGTCTTCATCAGCTAATCATTCAATTTGTTATTCAGCAGGGATCCTGTTCTATGCCTAGCACTGTGAAGAATACAAAAGAGCAGACCTTTTGTCCAGAAACCTTTCCAAAATGGCCCAAAAATCATGGAATGCATATATTTTGCAAAATAATTAGACCCCATATATAACACAGCTTTTCCTTTTATATGTCCTACTATACCCTTCAACCGGTTGTGAGCTTTCACTGGCAGGGCTTCCACTACATTCCTCACTTGTACCCCTCATGCCTAGCACAGTGCCTGGCACAAAACAAGTACATGACAAACGTTTGCCTGACTGAGCGCTAAACAACCTATGCGGCAGGAAACACTGTTTATCTCCGGTGCTAATCATTACAGTGACAGGCATGCACTGTTGTGATTATGATTACAGCTATTTATTGAGCACTTTCCATATTTGTTTACCTACTTAAAAAGAGTTTACCATGTGCCAGGCACTATTGCAAATACCTTATATTAACTCATTTACTCTCCACAGCACCCAATGGGTTAGGTCCTAAAATTGTTTTCCATCTTATAGATGGGAAATTGAGGCACAGAGTGGTAACTTTTCTATGAAATGATGGAGTGAAGATTCAAACCAAGGAAGTCTGGCTCCAGAATCAATGTTCTTAACTATTATGCTATGCTGCCAAACAGGCTGTCTCAGTTAATAACTGCTTAGGAAATCATTCTAAGCCCACATGTCTAAGAAACTCTCAATGTCTAAATGTAAACGTATCTTCGGGACTGAGGGGGACCAGAGAGAGAGAGAAATGTGAGAGAGAAACACTGATCTGTTGCCTCCCGCATGCACCCTAACCAGGGATCAGGCCCACAACCTGGGAATGTGCCCTGACTGGGAATGGAACCTGCCACCTTTTGGTCTGCAGGCTGACGCTCCAACCAACTGAGCCACACAACAACCAAAGCTGATGTCTCTTCTTTCTGACTCCCTGCTAATAACGGTACTGTGGATAAAAAGGGGGGTTCTACAGAAAGTAACCTCACAAGGTGATCTGATCATAAATTCCCAAATGGGCAGGTCATGGAGTCACACCCCAGGCATATAACTTCTTCAGTAAAACGTTCATCTTTGCCTTAAGCAAGCCCTGTCCATTGTTTCTGTGCATCTAGGTTAACACACCTTTGAAATAAGCATAACCACCCCCAAGAGAGCACAAAATCTTTTTTAAATGTATAAAAGAAACTGCAAAACTGTAATTCTCCACAGTATTTGAAATCTTGCTTCCCGGCAATCATCGTCAGTTTGGCTCAAATAAATTCTTATAAAAATTCTCTACAGTTTTGGAAGTTTCTTACATCGATAGTACTGTATCCAACATTCAATCAAGCTTAAAGGTCAGTCATTCTTATGTATTCCATCTTCCATATTACCCAGTGCCAAAATGTAAAGTCCTACTTAGACTCTCTCGGAAATACTTCTTATTCTTCCTTCCATCTCTTTTCCTACCTCTAGTAACTTAGTTTTAGTCCTTATTACTTTATATTTGAACTATAGTGATATCATCACTACTCTATTTGGTAGCAGTTTACACTAACACCAGATAAATCATTTTAAAACACAGCTTTTTACATGTCACTCCCATGCTCAAAAACTTTCAAAGGCTCCCTACAGTGGTAGTCTTCAAATTCTTTTGATTGTGTGCCCCATTAGTAACAGAGTTTTTGACCAGATCTCTCATGGCATATTTTTATGTAATTTTTTCTCACATGTCTGTATTTTAACCAACTGTATCAAAAGAACCAACAGAGTTTTAAAAATACAGATTCTCTGATGCCCACCCCCAAGTCAATGACTGAAAATACTCAGATACATATATGAACACTGCACAAAATAACAGCTAAACAAGAATAAAGGAAGGTAACAAATGTCTTCCTCATTTTATGTTTCACAGAGCTCCAATATTTCTATTTTTCCACTTTGCTATTAACACTTCCACCATAAAGTATAAAGAAATAGAAAGATATATAAATACGACGCTTAACAAGATCAGATGACTAATCATCTCCTAACACGGAGATTCTAGGACAAGCCAGTCATTCACTCATTCCCACATTAAGAGAATGCCTGAAATGCACCCGGACTGGCAAGGTAAATACAAGCTACTCGTGAGAAAGGTAGTAACTGGCAACACGAGAGAGGAAGATGAGAGGCCAGGTTCAAGAAACAGAGATGATGTCAAATTCAAGTGACATAACTAATGCATGTCAGAAACATTATTACTTAACCTGTAAACATCTTGTGAGTAGACACTTAGTTCTGAGCAATGCTCATCCATATGCTAACCTCTACTACTCACTCAAAATAATGAACTATTGCTCCAGTCTCATCTTCTGTCACTGATCCCTTAGTCAAACTCCGACGACATGACCCCCACGTTCGTTTCTGCCTTAAGGCCTCTGACCTTGTGAATTCTCTTCACTTGTAACAGTCTGTTAACAATGGTTGGTCCCCTGTCCTTCGGATGTCATGAGCAAGTATGCACTTCATAAGCGGTCAGCGTGTTAACAGGGGAACAGATACGGATAAATAAAACTCATTAATTTCATTTTAACCATTTCCAATTCCAAGAGTTGTTCGTAGAGAAAACCCATGGCTTTGTTTCACCTTAGTCTCTTCCTAGGGGGAGACGTTACGTAATTTTAAGTAGTAAAGCGGCCAGAAGTTAGAGCAGCACTAAGATATGAAAAAGCCAGTTTAATTGCTAAATCCTTCAACCCACGAGTTTGGGTCATTCAAGTTGCCCTTGTCAACAACAGGAACCTGAGAACAATCTCAGAGCAGCAGCT